AAAGTGGTGTGTTGAAGTCTCCTACTACTGTTGTGGAGCTGTCTGTCTCTCTTTTCAGTGCCGTTAGAGTTTGTTTTATATATTTTGGAGCCCTGTCATTGGGTGTGTAAATATTTATTATAGTTATGCCCTCCTGGTGTATTGACCCTTTAATCATTATATAGTGTCCTTCCTTATACTTTGTGGTGGATTTTATTTTAAAGTCTATTTTTTCAGAGGTTAATATTGCCATTCCTGCTCGTTTTTGAGTGTTGTTTGTTTGATATATTTTTTCCCATCCTTTGAGTTTTAGTTTGTTTGTGTCTTTAGTCTAAGGTGTTTCTCTTATAGGCAGCATATATACGGATCGTGTTTATTTATCGAGTTGCCACTCTCTGTCTTTTTATTGGTGCATTTAGTCCGTTTACATTCAGTGTAATTATTGATAGGTATGAGTTTAGTGCTGTCATTTTGGTGTCTTTTTTTGGGTGCTGTTCACAGTTTCTTTGTTCCGCTTAATTTTCTGTGCTGAGTTGTTTTTCTTTTCATCTTTTTCATTGTTGATTTTGTGTTTGCTGAGTCTTAATATTTTTCTAGTTTTTAATTTTCACTTTTAGGATTGTTAGTTTCCTTTGTGGTTACCTTAATATTTACCCCTATTTTTCTAAGTTTATACTAGTGTTTTATTTCTTGGTATCACCTTGACTTCCTCTGCATATGAAAAATCTATGTCTACATGTTTTAAGTCCCTCTTTTTTGTTTAATGTTGTCATCTTTCACGAATTGGCATCCGTTTCCCTATTTTCAGTGTTTTAGTTTTGATTTACTTTTGTGACTTCTCTATCTGGGTTGATATCTGGTTGCTCTGTTATGTGTTCTAGTCTTGGGTTGTTCTCTGATGTTACTGATTTTCTAACTGGAGGACTCCCTTTAGTATTTCTTGTGATTTTGGTTTCATTTTTGCAAATTCCCTAAACTTCTGTTTATCTGGAAATACCCTAATTTCGCCATCATAGTTGAGAGACAGTTTTGCTGGATATATGATTCTTGGCTGGCAGTTTTTTTCCTTCAAGGCTTTATATATGTCATCCCTTTGGTTTCTTGCCTGCATGTTTTCTGCTGAGTAGTCCGAGCTTATTCTTACTGACTGTCCTTTGTAGATGACTTTTCCTTTATCTCTAGCTGCTCTTAAAATTTTCTCTTTATCTTTGGTTTTGGCAAGTTTGATTATAATATATCTTGGTGACTTTCTTTTGGGATCTACCTTATGTGGGGTTTGATGAGTATCTTGAGTAGATATCTTGTCATCCTTCACAATATCAGGTAAGTTTTTTTACCAACAAATCTTCAGTGATTCTGTCTGTATTTTCTGTTATCCCTCCCTGTTCTGGTTCTCCAATCACTTGTAGGTTATTCCTCTGGTTAGAGTCCCACATAATTCTTAGGGTTTCTTCATTTTTTTTTTAAATCCTTTTATCTGATTTTTCCTC